CGAACTCGGGTCGGCCATGTTGGTCGCTTGTAAGGCGAACGCCCTACCCGCTGTGCTACATAAATAATCCAAAAACCTCAGAATCAAGGTTATGACTCAAAGGGGTGAAGCACATACCTATCATGTGTAAGACCCCAAGTACAATGTCTGACAGCACTTGGTAAAACTTGGTCATTCCCAGCACTGAGCTCAATGCCAGGCACACAAGACTGGGCCAAGTACCACGGAGGAGAATGCAAGCTTCGCTCCCCCCACCCCCAAGAACTAAGGGCATGGCCCTACTTTAAGACCCCTTTAGAATTCATGGTTACAGAAATGTGTTAATAAGAGTCTCCAAGAAAAATGTTAGCATTAATTTAAAAAGTTCAGCAAGATTGTGGCTATCTAAAAATAAATTTACATTCATTGGAAATGAACAATCAGAAATACATAGTTTATAAAATATATGTGTGAACATCACAGCTCAAAATATAAAGGTACCTGGAAATAAGTCTATCAAAAGCTTAAAAAAATTATGTGTAAATATTTTTAAATTCTAGTAAATTCAAATGTTTGGAAAGATACCTAGTGTTGATGGATTTGCAGAAGCCACTTCTAAAGATGTTGCTGATTTTCTGCAATTTATAAGTTGAATATGTATTGATCAAAATTCAGATAAGGTCGGTTTGAAGGATCACATGTTGGTTCTAACATGTGTAAGGTAAAGCTAGGAACACCAAGACAATTTTAAAGAGCTGATCAATAGATGCAGGGTCATTTAATCACCACACTGTAAGACTTAGCTAAGTATAATTAAGTGGTGAGAAAGTGAAATTCTACCCCAGAATGAGACAGAGTAATCTAGAAACAGGCCTATACATTTCTGAAAATATGTGGGTTTGGTGATGAACCTCCCAAGTAATGTTCAGTGTGGCCTGGGGGTCTCCCCTGTGATTCTCTGCCAACTGAACAGTCCTTTCAAAGCAAAGGCCTGAGGATTTGATGCGTCTCAGGCCCTACAACACTGGGTATACTTGAGCACACCAGGTAATGCTGGGGCCCTCCAGGGCTGTACCCAGCAATGCTTTGGGGTCACCTGGGGCCCGTAATTGAAGCCAAGTGGGGTACATGCTAGGAAAACATCCTAATCACTATACTATCTCCTACCCACAGAGCTGGAGATTTGCATATAACAGAAACATCATTCCTTTCATTTTGTTTCTGTCTTTTTGGGGGGTGGAGAGGGAGGGTGGGCACAGCTGGCTATGCTCTAGACTTAAACCTGGGTCTGCTCTCAGGGATCACTCCTAGTGAGGCTTTAGAAACTATATATAGCACTGAGGGATAGAACCTGGGTGAGCTGGGTGTGAGGCAAGTGCCTTACACACTGTATTATCCCTCTGGTTGTAGAGATACCATTTCTGATCGGTGAACAATATAGACTTTTAGCCAAAGACCTTGGCTAAAAAAACAATGCATTATATATATGGGGAAAATAAATTATAGGCTGGCATCAAGCCAAGTTACATGGCATGCGAGTCTAGATGGAAAAGCAGGCCTTCAAAACTTCTGGAGCAAAATGAAGAAGGGTTTCATGATCTCAAGGAAAGAAAGGATTTCCTTAATCAGGCACAAGTGTGGGTATATTCAAGTATGAAAAGCCCCATTTGTTCATTAAAGATATCATAAACAAAGGGAAAAATATAAAATCTAGGCCTAAGAAAGATATTTGGCACAATCATAAAGAAAGGGTGGGGTGGGGGGTAATTTGATCCAGAGTTTCTAAACATCTCCAAATGCAAAAAAAAAAAAAATACACCAAATGACAAGGAGTAATCCTCACAACCACCTTGAGGCATAAACTGTTCCTCCTAGTGACCAGCAGCTTGGGAATGAAGCAGAAAGGAATTTCCAGGGCTGGAGCAATAGGTAGGGCGTTTGCTTTGCATGCGGCAGACCAGGGTTCAATTACCAGCATCCCATATAGTCCCTTCAGCACCTCTAGGAGTAATTCCTGAGTGCAGAGTCAGGAGTAACCCCTGTGCATCGCTGGGTGTGACCCAAAAAACAAGAAAGAAAGAAAGAAAGAAAGAAAGAAAGAAAGAAAGAAAGAAAGAAAGAAAGAAAGGAATTCCTACTTCACATCTGTCATGTTGGCAAGAATTAGAAAGTTGCCAATGCCAAGCCCTGCTGGTCGGAGTATAAATGAGCCGATGAATTTGAGGAGACAAGATGGCAACTACTGGATCAGAGTATTGGAATCTCCCTAACCTCCAGTTGTGCTGCAGCTGAGGATTAGGAAGAAAACTTAAAACCTCTAGTGTGGGTTCTTGGAAGACGCTGTCTTTAGAATAGTTAACACAGAAGAACTGAGAGATATGTGGTCCCCTGAGCACTAACACTAGTGACCCCTGAGCACAGAGCCAACAGAATTTGGCCCAAACCTGGCCCCTACAAAGCAGTAAATTACACATTCATGTGTTCAATCCTGTCATTTTCTATGACTTATTTTTGCTTTTTTTTATGCAAATTTCCTACTTAATTCGTTCATTCGAAGGAAGTATAATTACACAGAGCTGATGTATCTGGTGATTGGAACATTTCCAAGGTCTAATTAGGATGTGATGGTTAAGGCTCCAACGGGCCAAGGTTGAAAGGCCTTGGAAGAAGAGACAGGACAGGTTCAGGGTCACTGTGTGGTCACTGTGTGGTCACTGAACACTGCCTGGTGTAGCCCTGCTGCTGTGGACCTTGTAGTCTTTGCACCACTCAGTCTGAGCAGCATAGGCTTTGGCTTTGAACCTTCCCCTGAGGTGGTCAAGCATCCCTGGGAGTGGCCACTGAGCATCTTGGGCATTGCTTGGGAGTTTCCCCTTGTATCCCAAAGAGTCAGAGTTGTAGGAAAGCTGGGAATTCTACACTTCATCCTCATGCACTGCAGAAGGAAAAATAAATGACACATCCCTGGTCTCAGTTTGGCAATGTTTAACAAAACATTACATTCCCTTAGATCTAGCGTGTTTCCCCTTTTACCTTTATTCTAATATTCTAATAATATTCTAATAATATTCTAATAATATTCTAATATTAGATTAGAAAGAAATACCAATAAATAGGTGTGGCACTTTTTAGGCTGAGGGCACCAATCAGTGACGGCTAAGGTAATCAACTGTTTCTAATTGAGAGCACAACTGATGGAGTATTATGTAGCCACTAAAATGATGCTGATGAAACAATGTGAAAATGCTTATAAAGTATTCAGCTAAAGTAAAAGAAGTTGCAAGATAGTATGTAGAGAGGATTTCAGCAAACCACCAACCTATAGACTGATGTGAAGATGTTAAAACACGAAGGGAGTTTACTGCTGGATGGAATGAACAGATTTCTGCTTTTTTCTAGGAAAATAAATTAGTTTTTGCCTTTTTCAGAAATCATATGTAATTTTAATTCAGTTTTATTTAATAGGCGAGGGTCTCTTTTGCAAATACCATTTATTTATTTTTAATTTTAATTTTTCAAGGTTTTATTGCAAACCCAAATTGGTTTATGGCACACACAAAAAAGCTGTGTGGTAGGAAGGTGGGGATTATACATATTATATCTATGTTAATTACAATACACATTGGTGGTTTACATGACAAATTAAGCATGTAAGTTTAAATATACTAGTGTTATAACCCAATGTACAGAATTCCTTTATATAATACATATAATTATCAGGAATAAAAAAATCCATAAATAATGTCCACTTACAGGTGACATTTTATTTATTTGTTAAATTTATTTATTGAATTACCTTGAGAAAAGTTACAAAGCTTTCAGGTTTAAGTCTCGGTCATACAATGATCAAACACCCTTCCCTTCACCAGTAGTTATTTTTCACCACCAAGAACCCCAATATACCATCCCTCCCACCCCTCCTGATGCCTGTGAAGCATATGATTTCTACTTAACTCTCTCTCTACTTTGATTATTTCGACAAAAGATGGACCATTATTATTTGGAATTTTCCCCCAACAATCAACTACTGAAAAGGCATTGTGAAGTAATTTGTTTTCTATTGCTGGTTATGAAAACCATATGATGTCACTATTGCGGCCGCGCGATTTTGGATTTCTGATATTTTACTAATTAAGTCTGGAGGGATTTCTGCCAAGAGTTGGATAATTACGAGATTGGTTTCTGTGTGTCTGGTGCCATGGCCATTCTGGAGAGCCGTTAGTGGGGGGCAACTGGTTGCTTCGGTAGAGTGTGAAGGACTAGCCAGTTCCGCACCCCATCCCATGAGGTGCAGTTGCCCCCGTCAACAGGTGACATTTTAAACAATGAGAACTTTAACAATTGGGGTATTAGATAGAAATATTTATAGCAGCATTGCTTTCTTTGGGGCTGGAGTGATAGCACAGCGGGTAGGGCATTTGCCTTGCACGCAGCCAGCCCAGTTCTAATCCCAGCATCCCACATGGTCCTCTGAGCACCGCCAGGAGTAATTCCTGAGTGCAAAGCCAGGAGTAATCCCTGAGCACCGCTGGGTGTGTGACCCCAAAAAGAAAAAAAAAAGCTTTCTTTAAGCATGCAGATATGCAGATGCCACTTAAACAGGCCGGATGACCGAGAAGGCCACCAGGTGCCCCGGCAGCGGCAGCGGCGGTCTAGTCGCCTTTGTCAGCTGACCGAGCTTTGAGCATCAGACCAGGGACCCCCGCAGCGTGGCACCCCAGGGTTGGCCCGTGACGTCGCCGCGGACGCGGCTGGGCGTTTGGGGAAGTTGCTCGGGCCTCTCTAGATCTGCTCCCCTCTCCGGGTCCATCAAAGGGCCTGAGCCCCGCTGGCGGCGCCGCGGGCTTTGTTTGCGGGTCAGCGGGTTGGGGTCACGCGTGCGAGGCGGCGAGCCGGAGCGCTTGGCAGCGCGCGGGGCGTCCCGCGGGGCGGCGGGGGCCCGGGCGCGGCGGGGGCGGGCGCCCCGGGGCGGAGCGCGGCGCGGCGGGGGGCGGGACGGGGTGAGGTTGGGTGGGGGGGGAGCCCCGCTCGGCGCGGCCGCTGGGGATTCCCCCGGGTGGGCGTGGGGGAAGTCCCGGGGCCAGCGGCTACAAAGCGGGCCGCGCCGAGCGCCGCGCTCCCCACTCGATAGCGCCCAGCCATGGCCTGCGCCCCTCGGTGCGTGTCCCCCGCTTCCCGCCGGAGGTCCCCGCTGCTCCCGCTGGCCCTGGCCGCGCTCTGGCTGCCCCTTGCAGCAGGCAGCCCGGCGCCCGCCGTGCTGGAGGTGACCGTGGCCTGCGCCGCGGACGTGGCCTTGCCCTGCACCGCCCCCCGGGACCCGCAGGGGTCCTACTCCGTCTCCTGGGCCAAGGTAGGCGCGGCGGTGCCCGCGGACTAGGACTGGGGCCACCTCCAAGAAAGAGACCGGTCACCCTTTGGGGCCGGGGATGATGCTTCGGGGGATGGGGATGGGGGTGGCGGGGACATCCCGCAGCCTGGATTCTAAATTCCTAGTCCAGCGATACGCCCCCCGACACCCCTTAGCACAGCGCATCTTAGCACAGAGCGGATTTAGACGTTGAGCCTCAGGCATCTCCAGCCTCACCTGGCCCCAAAGTCCAGACCTGTGGCTTGGAAGCCCCAGTTGCTGGCCTTCGTGCCGGCCTCCACACCTGTGGGTGTTGCAGGCTGCAAAGAAACCAGAATTGGCGCGAAGTTGCTGAGAGGCGACTAGGGTTTGTTTCATAGGAGGTGGTTACTGGTTCAGGATGAAGCTCTCTGGGGGTACCCTTGTTCAGGATGAGCTCTCTGGGGGTATCCTTGTCTGGGGGACCCTTGCTCTCTGCCCTGTGCTGCTCTGCCCTCTGGCGGTTAGGAGAGGTCCGTGTGTGTGTGTGTGTGTGTGTGTGTGTGTGTGTTTGTGTGTGTGTAGTCTGCTTGCTTCTGCCATTTGCCCAGTTAAATACAAAGGGGCTTCTTATGTGGAAGTAGATTTAGGCTTCTTCTTACTTCACTTGCACCTTACAGCGGGATCAGAAAATACAACGGTTTCATGGTTGTTTTCACTGTAATTGAATCTTAATATTCTTTTAAAGTTATAAAAGTAGCAGGATTTGGGTTTTTTTTGGGGGGGGGGCACACTCAGAGGTACTCAGGGTTTACTTCTGGTTCTGTGCTCAGGGATCACTCCTGGGGGGATTTAGGAGACCAAGTGCAGTTCCAGGTACTCAACTGGGATTAACTAAATGCAAGTCAAGCTTCTTATCTGCTATACTATCTATTCATCCTCAAAGCTCTAAGGCTTGAAGGTTCATTATATGCCAAACTCGGAGATATTTACATATCTATCTGTTTCTGTGTTTCTCACGGACTTAAGTGATGTGATGAGTACCCTTCCTGGTCCTGCTTTACAGATGAGGAAACTGAGGCTGAGGGCAATAGCCCAGCCTTAAGAATGTTAGCTTGCTTCACTGATGTCAAAACAGTGGAGCTGGGCTTGCACCAAACAGTCTCTGTCCACAGACTGCATGTTTCGGCGTCTGTCTTGATCTCTCCATTTTCACTCTTAAATGCTTAAGGTAAAGCAAACGAGCGTCCCTGGGTGAGCCAGCCAGGGACTTACTTATCTCAAAGAAGAGGGAAAGCGTGACATTCTTTCCCTTCCAAAGAGTCATTTTTAAAAAAGAAAACAGTATTAATATCCCCAGGGGAGTAATTAAAAAGGACTGGTGAAACAAACAGATGGAATTTCATACTGTAACGTTCAAACCGATGTCAAGTTAAATCTTCCTGTGTAAGGTCATCTGGAGTGATGCAGTAGCACTGTAGCACTGTCCTCCCGTTGTTCATCGATTTGCTCCAGCGGGTCCAGTAATGTCTCCATTGTGAGACTTGTTACTGTGTTTGGCATATCGAATACGTCATGGGTAGCTTGCCAGGCTTTGCTGTGTGGGCGAGATACTCTCAGTAGCTTGCCGGGCTCAGTAAACCATGGCAATTATTAATCTTTGACTTCTTGGTGGACGTCAGCTGATGCTGGCACTCTCTAATGCCTATGCATATTTACATGGTTCTTGCATGATTTATCTGCTCAGAACTGTTAGAATAACCTCAAGACACCAATCTCTTGGCAGTTTCAGAGGCACTGAAAAAGTATGCCTATTTTAAAAAATAACAAAAAACTATAAATAAGTACTGGTGCATAGGAGAGTTCCATTATGCCAGCACCAGTATGACACCCTGAAACTGATACATACTATTCCTTCAAGTATTTTTTAACAGGTCTCAGCATATTCTGAAATCATATGATATTCCAGCCCAGTATTTTAGGTTTTTATAAGTTGTATTTGTAGCACTGTAGCACTGTCTTTCCATTGTTCATCGATTTGCTCGAGTGGGCACCAGTAACATCTCCATTGTGAGACTTGTTACTGTTCTTGGCATATTGAATACGCCATCGGTAGCTTTCCAGGCTCTGCCGTGTGGGCGGGATACTCTCGGTAGCTTGCCGGCCTCTCTGAGAGGAGGAATTGAACCCGGGTCGGCTGCATGCAAGGCAAATGCCCTACCCACTGTGCTATCACTCCAGAGTTGTATTTGTATAACAAATAGTAGAATGTTCTGGAAATAATGCCAGTGGTTTGGGGCTGGAGCAACAGTACAACAGGTAGGGCACTTGCCTTGCCTTGCATATGGTCCCCCAGAGCCCACCAGGAGTGATTTCTAAGCACAGAGCACAGAGCCAGGAGTAAGTCTTGAGCACAGCTGTATATTCCCCAAAATCAAAAACAAAATGTACTTTTCTCTGGATAGAATCTCGTTTTCTGTCTGGAATTCCTCTCTTTCTCTCCTCTCACATCTTTCTAGGTAATTTCTTTCTTTCTTTCTTTCTTTCTTTCTTTCTTTCTTTCTTTCTTTCTTCCTTTCTACCCTTTGAGTCACACTCAGCAATACTCAGGGGTTAGTCCTGGCTCTGCACTCAGGAATTGCTCTTGGTGGTGCAGGGATCGAACCCACTGTACTATGGCTCTAGTCCCTTTCTAAGTAAATTTCTTTCAATGCAAACTATTTGCTTCACTTAAAAAAAAAAAAAAGAAAGAAAGCCAGTGATGAAGAAAAACTTAATAGAGGATGCAGCTTCTTTTCATTGCCAAACCTTTTCCTACCCCGACTATCTGATGAAGTGTTTCCATGAAGCAGAGGGTCAACAATTGGAACCTGGTGCCCACGGCCAGCCAAGGCCATATCGTCTTTCTTCTCATCACAAATGTGCTTTCTTTTTGCATAGCTGGGCAAGTAAAACAGTGTCCGCCTGCCCCCCGGAGTGTGGATTTTACTGGCTGCCAGATTGAATCCATGCTTGCGAGGCCCGCTGTTTCTCACAATTATGCTTATAACCACTCACAATTTAAAATTTCACTTCCCACTCAGCTCTCTGGCACCACAGAGCATTCTGCCACTGTCCAATTGACATGGATTATTTGTGATTAACAAGAGGACCCTCGAAAGCCATGTGTTTCTTATCATGTGCTGTTTACCCAAAAATTCAAAGCAGACGACAAGCACTGTGCTAGTGTTTGCAACATTAGAAGGAGGTGTGGAGGAACAGTGCCTGGTTCTTTCTCTTTATTTCTAAACTTATGGTGGAGCAATAGCACAGCGTGTAGGGCGTTTGCCTTGCACGTGGCTGACCCGGGTTCAATTCCTCTGTTCCTCTTGGAGAGCCGGGTAAGCTACCGAGAGTATCCTGCCTGCATGGCAGAGTCTGACAAGTTACCCGTGGCGTATTCGATATGCCAAAAAACAGTAACAAGTCTCACAATGGAGACGTTACTGGTGCCCGCTCGAGCAAATCGGGAGGCAAATGGGGAGACAGTGCTACAGTACTATGGTGAGAAAGTGGCCGAGGGGGCTCAATAAAGACCAGCACAGGGTGTCAAAGGTGGAGCCCAAGCTGGGCAGAGATACTCCAATCCCTGTGAACTCAACTTGAAGGTGGACTCTTGTCTTTCTAATTGGGATCAGTCCCCTCCCTTTCTGGATGGTATCTTGTAGGGCAGAATGGTGATCGAGAACTGAATACAGTGTATCCATGAGGAGAGCAGCCAAATTTGGTTTAAACTTATCCATAAATTGTGATTGGGTAAGGATTTGGAGAAAATATGCAGATTAGAATTTGGTTTCGTGCTCTTTGGCTGTGACCTTAGTTAGGTTAGATGCTAGCATTTGAGGGCATAGTACCCTAGTACCAGGGGTGACATCCACAGACAGGCTGGAGCACACTTCCGCTTCCTGCTGAGTTGAGTCCTCGGGCTCCGTAACTCTTTAAAAAGTTGCCCTCTGCTTGGATGGAGACGGTGAGCTGGGCAGAGTGGGCATGCTTGATGTTTGCACTTATAACTGTGAGTGATGATCAGCGAGATGCAGTTCATCGCGTAGCATGCTAGGAGCCTTGGTATTCTACACTGATGCATAATGAAAGAGGACGTAGGGTGTCATCTTTGGGTGACACTGTGGGGTTGAGGACTGAGATGTGTCACAAGACAAGTGCTCTTTACAGAAGGGTTTCAAAGGAAGGGAACAAAGGGGAACTGATTATGAATTCAGAGAATCCGACTTGAAGCTTGTATTATTTAGCAGAGTCCCAACCGTGCCAGATTACTATCACGTGAATTAAGGGAGCTGGATAAGCTTTCAGGAAGCTACTTCAAAAGTTCAAAGTCCAAAGATAGTGAGCTCTGCCTTGTTCTTGGTTCATTATGCAGCTGCCTTCCTCTTTGTTAAACTCCCATTTGGCAGCTGTATTTTCTCTCTACCATCTTGTAGGAGAATGAGCCATGAAGCAAGGGGCTGTTAAGGAGGCAGAGGTGACTGGTCTGGACAGATGTCATCTGTAGAGTCGCAAACACTGATAGATTTTGGTAGGAGGCAAGCTACTCATGGCGTTTCCTTGGTTCTACAATGTCTTTTCTTGAAGGTAGACTTAGGAACATCTCTCCCCCCACCCCCATAAAAAAGGAAACACATCTACATTAAATGAAGAAGCACTGAAACATTTACATGTGAACATAATGCATTTGTAACTATGAAAGGAAAATCAGACTGTCTCTAAGGCATCTATACTACTTGGTCTGATCAAATCACTTCTATGGCTTTCTACCATTATTTATCAGCGATTGTTCATATTTCTACCTTTATTATTAGTATTTCTACATCTCAGATATGTGCTAGTTCCTGTTTGTGGCATTAACCAACCCAAATTCGATGTAGAACTTTTGCCAGATGACCACATCTTGAGTAAAGGCATGCCCGGGCATAGGAATCTACAAAAATTGAAAGAATTCATAACTACTAGCAATACAGAAAAATGAG